CAGGCTTGTAATAAGAAAATCACAATAACTTATCTCTAGAATTAGCAATTACTCAATGAGGCTGAGTAGGAGGTGAAGAATCGAGGAGGATGTTATCCACCGCGGTTGAAGGCCTCGCATGTTCCCAATTTGGTCAACACCAGTTGGTTATGAAGAATTAGCCGGGGGCTTTGAGCCAATCAGGAGTGTTGAAATATTTTGAGTGAATGATAACTGCATTTAAAACCCTTCTGCAGGGTTTATTCTAGAGCGTAGCCTTGCGAAATTTCCGCAATTTGGAAAAAAGTGCCGCATAAAATTTACGTTGCCGCGTCAAACGGGGCGCAAAAAAATAGACCCAAGGATAAGTACTTTATTTTGAGATGAAGTATTCAAAAACATTACTGACAACAACACTGATTTGACGGCCGCTCTTTAAACTTACTTCGAACTTTTATAGCCTTTTAATTTCTCATTTGCCTTTCTCTTCTTCGTTTGAGTCATTATTTCACCAGACAAACATCCGGGATTCTGCAGTAATTCGAACCCAAGCTATTTCAGTTGCCCAGAATGTTCCAAAATGGCGGCAACGCGTCAATAAAGGTTCGTTTTCCCATGGAACAGTCTGCACCAATAAGTTCAAGGACCCCCTTTCTTGGACCCCCATTCTTGAAAAAAGGGCCCCCTAAAATAACGGAAGGGGGCCCATTTCACCCTCACTGGCCAATTTTTAGTATAAACCCTGCTTCTGGTAGCATGACTCTGCCAAGTAATTGCAGTTGACATTTTAATTGCTGTATTTGTATCCTTTGCTTACAACCCTGCTGTGTTGTGTTTTGTAGGATGGTAATATCGTAATCAAGAACATTCAATTTGAGGATGGCCCCCTTGGACACAGAGAAGTCAGCATTAAATGGAAAGATCTTATATGTTATCAAAGACTAGAGGTGAGTAGTATAGATTGAGTGTTTCAATATCTCTTGTAATTTTAAGGTTAAACTTCATGTGTGCAGAATCTAATGCAAATGAGCGAGGACAATAAAATTTTTCTTCGAGTAAAAACCAAAAGTTACGGAATGTGGGCGACAACGAGCGAAGGTCAAAACGCTTTTGCTCCAACGCTGTGCTTTGCGCAAGTTTCACGTGACAGATGGTCAAAACACGCGTGAGTGCATGAGTGATAGAAGGGCCAAACGTGCGTAATGGGCCGCGTAATGAGCATTCCATTCATTCTAAGTGGAAGTCCAAACGAGTGCAGGCTACATACATGCGACGCATGCGTAATAACCTGTAGATTAGGATTGCTTGTCCCTCTCATCGCCCGCAATTTGCGTTAATTTCGGCACATGCCAGTGAAGCTCGGCATTTAGAACGGGCCTAAGAGAAATCATCACTTGCCCTAGTTAGACATAGGCATGGATAACTTGTCGAAGAGGTTACTAAACTAATAAAATGATGCAATGAACAAGAAAGTTAAATTCTCCCAACTATTTTTATAAGGAATTGTATAGTTCAGTATAGAGTATTTATATGTGGATGTACTCGACTACTTATCTCCCTCCAATGTGGCGCGGGTTCATCTGAGGCGGACGGTCATGTTGTGTTTGTTGATGCTTCTCTCCCCCGTGGCTGATTTTTTACCGTGTTGTTCCTTCTCTCTCTTGCTTCAAGAGAGCACGGTAGTTTTCCTCTCGCCTCAAAAACCAACAATTGCAAATGACAATTCGCCAGATGTGTACAAACATACGAAACCCAGATATTTTTAAATTTACGCGTACATTGTACAAACGTTTTAGATGTAGAGGAAGTGCATCCATGTAATGGTTATTCGTCTGGTAATCTTGATCGTATTTGACTGCAAAACAGTCGGTTTTTTTCTCAAAATCGTTTTAGCGTAGCTTAAGAGTTTCACACGCGCGAAGAGGGCCAGGCTCACACGGTCTCTCCCCAGTCTTGCTCTCCGTTTTCAGCCTCGCTCCAGACCTTTTGTTTGACTGCTTGCGCGTACTTGGATACGCAAAAATACGGACTGTTTTGCAGTCTATGATCGTGTGGAAATTTGGAAATGTTGGTTTTCGCAGAGAGGGGAGATAGGAGTACCCGAAGAAAAACCTTTTTGAACAAGGAAAGAACCAATATCAAACTCAAGCCACTTATGGTCTCGCTTCTGGGACCCAGCAACATAAGTGTAACGGGGGTGGTCTCTTTCTTGCCTTCCACTTGCAGCTAACTTGGAAAAAAAAGACCCAGACTTTTGCAAGCGCTAACAAAGCAAACCTATTTGTGATAGCAAATTGTCATGAATCAATTTGAGTTTTTGACCAGACGTACATTGTTGGTATATTAATGTTTGGTTTTTAGGTTATTGCAGGCCCACCAGCGAAGCTCAAGATTCTAAAGTTTGATCATTCTGAGGTAGGTATGATAAACGCGTGTCTTGGACCCAGTGTTTCAGTGTTCCATCTTCCAGTTTTGAACACTGAGTTCAATCTATCAATGACCGAGTCCCAAACCCACTGAAAGAGCGTCCTATTGACGCTTGAAGCTTGAAGCCACACGTGACATTGGATTAAGAGGCATAAGCAAATTTCAACCATGACTTCTTTGACTCTTCAACAACACTTTCATGCACAACAGTGTTGTGTATAAAGTCCTTTTCTCTCCTCAGTGAGTTAGGGCATTTTCCATTTGTCAGAACTGTGCGACCAGCACATTCCCGTTGTAATGATAATTTTACTTTTAATCAAAGCTATCCAGCCAGATCAGTCAAATTCTAAATAGTATGCACCAAGGAAATCGTTTTTCCTCAAAAGCTCTTGGAAAAAGCCTATTTCATTTTCAAAATGACAGGTCCAGCCATGGTCTGGCCGGCCAGCTCTGACTTTTGGAAAGCACACTAAGTTAGAGTGCTTGTTGAGATTGCCTCGACCTCTGACTTGCGGTAGTGCGAAACAACATTGCTTGGGAAGCTTCCTATGCGTTATCAAGCCTGCTCTTGTACAAACTCGAGTTCATAATGTGATTTGTTTTACTTGTTTTACAGCCACTTTCGGTGTTTAACGATACCAAGATGCCATTTCTCCTTACTGTTCAACTGTGCGACAAGCTTGAAAACCCCTCCGATGAGCCTAATGTTAAGGTGGTCCTTAATACGTACAGAGGAATTAAGGTGGGAATCTCAGTTTTTGTTATTAAATTAAAATTTGACCAAGCCTTTAATTGTTTGGCCTCCTTTTAATAAATGCAGTTTCAGTCGAACCTCCACTAATAGGGAGCTTAAGCAACTACGACCACGACGACGACGACGAGGACGACGACGACAACATCAAAAAACAACAAGTTTAATGATCAAAACAACAGCTCTTCACGTGCATCATGCTTTTTAGTACATTTATTTGGCGTCCACTGCACGACTACGACGTGAAACCTCCTAATTTGACGTTTATGGAGGACGTGGACATAGGACGAGGAATTTTCCTTCCTCTTTTTGAACCTGGATAAGCTCCTTAAGAATTCAACTCCAGGAAAAGTCGCCTGCATTTGACATATTGAGCGGTACCAAATAGACGCGATTAAGTTTGAAAGAACGCAAATTTATTTTGTCGGTGACGTTTTCACTGCCGTCGTCGTCGTCGTTGCTTAAGGTCCCTAAGGAGCACCTCTCCACAACGGCCACTTTTTTTTGTCCCAGGAGACAGTCCATAGATTGACTCTTATCCAAACCTCTCAACAACGGCAACGGCCACTAAAGCGTGTCTCCAAGCTCCAAAATAAGGGAGTTTAAGCAACGACGACGACGACAGCAATGAGAACGGCAAAAAGGCAATAGGTTAGATTAGCAAAACAACAACTTTGCACGTGCATCACGCTTTTTTGTACTTTTCTTAACCGTCGTTGCACGACTACAACGTGAAAGTGCCTAATTTCACGTTTTGTTGAGGACGGGAACACAAGACAACAACTTTTCTTTTCTTTTCCAAAAAATATTGCCCACATTTGACGAATTAAAGTGACGTTTTCATAGCCGTCGCCGTCGTTGTTGCTTAAGCTCACTATTAGGGACGTTACGATCCGACAACGGCGACGCCAATGAAAACGTCGCTGAGAAATAGACTTCGCGTCCTTTAAAACTTTTTCGCCCTTATACCAAGTCACTCAGTCACTTGAAAGCAGGAAAGTTAAGTTAGAACTGAAGAGAGGGGACCACGTCCGAATTCAGAGAGAGAAAGCAGAATTTATCGCCTTGCCGTTCCCGTTCTCAAGTCAACTCAAAATTTGGTCATTTCACGTCGTAGTTGGGCAGGGACGGCAAAGAAATATACAAAAAGCGTGGTGCACGTGCAGAGTTGTTGTTTTGCTCATAAAAACTATTCTGTTTCAGACGTTCCCGTTGCCGTCGCCGTTGTAGTTTCGTAAGGTCTCTATTTCCTCTCGACAACGGCCAGTTTTTTTCAGCAACCGATGAAGGAGTCAAGAATGGTGATAAAGTTTGATCCGTTGGTGATTAATCGTGGCAACCGTATGTTGATTGTGATCCATTTATACTGCTGCAGTAAGCATAAATTGTCTACGATACTTGTAGCGAATGCTGCGAGCCTTGCTTGTTTTGGGACGTTAACATTTTAATTCGAAGCAATATTGAAGTTTTTTGTGTATTTTAACTCTATGTATTATATATGATTGGATTACCTTTATGGAATACAATAAAATAAAAATGAACTTAGTAGCGCAATAAACATGTTGTACTCCCTATCTCCTAATAACGGCCACCTCTCCAGAACGGCCACTTTCTTCTGTCCCTAAGGTGACCGCTGTCGAGAGGTTCGACTTTATTATGTAATCTGCGACCTTTTCTTGCACTTCAAAAGATCTGGTCGATGTTGCGACTGAACCGTTTTTACTGCCTTATTTTTTGAGCTTTCTATCGATAGTGCGTCGAGCACCTGATTATGCAAATTTATATAAATCTATGCAAACTGATGCTTCTAATTGTGGTATTTATTATTATTATTATTTTTTTTCAGGTGACTCCAGCACCCGCTCAGCAGAAGACGGACAGCAAGGGTCAAGCAACGTTTGGTCAACCTACTGTGAGCGCAACCAAGTAGGTGGAATATCAACATAAGTCTTCTTGTGCCCCTGTTCCTGCCTCTTACTTGATACCTCTTACCTCAGCCCTTAATGAACGTTAGTGTCAAAGAGAAGCGTTCTTTACTTTACACCATTTCTTAGTTCTGCTACTCGGCAGTTTTAATTCCTTCTTAACGGCGCCTCTATTAGTGGGACCCCTAGAGTTGGTCCCTGCCTTTCCTTAGTCATTTTATTTGACTTCCTATAAGATAGAGACCTTCCTAAAACAGACACCTAGAGTTGGTCCCTGCCATTCTTTATTCATTTTTTTTTTACCCTCTTTAAAACGCACACCTCCCTAAAACGTACACCAAACGTCGGTTTCTGCCATTCTTTAGTCGTTTTCTTGGACTCTCTATAAGATGGACACCTCCCTAAAATTCTTAAAGTTTGTCCCCGTCGTTCTTCATTCATTTTCTTTGATTCTGTAGAAGACGGACACCTCCCTAAAACGGACACCTAGAGTTGGTCCCTGCAATTCTTTAGTCGTTTTCTTTGAATCTGTTTAAGACGGACACCTCCTTAAAATGGACACCTAGAGTTGGTTATTACCATTCTTCGTTTATTTCCTTTGACTCTATAAGACGAACACCTCCCTAAAAAGGACACTAAATGCCGGCATGCACTTTGTGCCGATCAAAAAGATATCCGTCGACTTTATTAAGAGCCCCAACCTTGGCATTTCTTAGGAACAACCTCTTCCTCGGTCATAATTTAAGTCTGTAAAATAACTCGCGGAAACGTGTGTTTGAAAATCAGGGGAATGTATGGAATAAGAATCAAAGCCCTGCTTGGAAGAACTGCATTGGATGCGCCTACGATAAGCGTGAGGTAAGTTCTGTGAAGCAGGTTAACACACATTTCACAATCACTCACGGATTTGGTCGAGAGCTCTGATTTGTGAGAGTTTAGACCTCCGAAATGGCGTCAAAATGTTTAAAACTTTAGTGGAACTGCGAGTTGCACTCCAGTTGTTTCATTGCAGCGTATCAAAGATTTTCACGTAATCTCTGTGGTCTGTAAGAGTAAAGTCAATGGAAAATTGTTGTTTATTCGCCAAAATATTCAATATTTTGTATCAATAAAGATGTTGAGCGTGGCATTTAAAGCAAAAGGAAACGGTAGAGATCAAATCGGCTATTGAATTCGCTTTTGGCATTTTCGGAGATAGCTAGTACATCGCTTAGGAGTGAATATGTTACATACGTTAGCGCTAGCGTTGGAAGAAGTCGGACGCGTCAAACCTACTTGCGATCGCTTTTCTCAAGTTGGTGCTTTTGATACTGTAATTTCCTGTGGTACCTACCCGCTTTGACTAGCTGTAGCTATTTGCGGGTAGCTACATCTGCACTGTCGTATTCTAATGATAAAGTTGTTGTTGTTGTTGTTATATGTTTTGCATTTCAGAGTGGAGCCTGACCCATCAAAGGCTGTAAATCTTAACGTCACGTTTGATTCTAATGCGCCGTGTGTCGTTGGAGAGTTGTTACCAAGTAAGTGAGACCATTAGATTGACAGTAGTCTGGTAGGACTGTTGCGCAGGCAAGTGTATCCCAAGCAAGCAAACGGGTTTCCAGTTTTGCCGTCAAAACTTGCGCTTTCCATAGGCTGGATTTCCGCCGCTATCTCGGGTCCGGTCGAGGTCGCAAGCTCATCAGGGAGCTTAAGCAACGACGACGGCGACGTCGACGAGAACGGCATAAAACAATAAGGTTTAGATTGGTAAAACAACAACCTTGCGCGTGCGTCAGCCCTTTAGAATTCAACTGCTGAAAAATTAGCCATCATTTGACAAATTAAATAGTTGGGTTAAGAGCAATGAAGTTTGAAACAGTACGAATTCACTTTTTGGGTGACGTTTTCTCCGCCGTTGCTGTCGTCGTTGCTTAAGCTCCCTAGTTACCGAACAGCGACTGATAATCGAGTCTAGACTACGAGTAGTCCCCATTTTTCCTCAGGGATAGTAGAGCAAGCGAAACGCGAGCGCGCGTGAAAATCACCCCACGCGAGAGAGGCGAGACGGGGCTACTGACGGGTTAAGACTGCATTGCAGGTCAAATACTTTGTCTAGTGACTCTGCATTTTAACCATTTAATCCCCAAGAGTGACCAAGATCCATTTTTTCCTAACAATATCAACACATAATCAAGAGAAACGGTTATGAGAATTTATATAATGATCAAGTAAGGGAAAATGCTTTGATTTTTTCTCCACTTTCAGCAGCATCTGACTGATATTAGCTATAGGGAATTCTCATCCAAAACGGAAAGTGATTTGCAAGGACTTGTTCGATTAGCACCCTCTGGGATTTCAGACCTACAGGGTGGCAATTCTCCCAACTAAGTCTTAAGGGAAATGTATGGAGATCAGTCTGGAGAATTTTTGGGTGGATATCGAGGTTTAATACAATTGGCTATGTCTTTCTAAGCATTGCGCTCAGCATTGTGTGACCAAATTCCAGGTGTTTGGAGATCTATAGGATTTTACTTTAACCTGAATCTGAGTTCTACCATACAAATTCAACTTTAAAGCAGTTTGGCCACGCAAGGACATTGACATATTGAACACTTTTACCTGAAAATTTGATTGACTCATTCCTTGGGTGGGTGTTAGCATAAGAGGTTCAGGTTGGGGGATGTTTTGTCCCCCAAACAAACCTACAGTCCTGCGTTTCAGCTGTTTCAGCCCATGTCGTCGGAGACGACGAGGCTGTAATGAAAGCAGCAAGTGCTAAGGACATATTGTTGAAGATATGGCACTCTAAGGATGGCCCAGTATCAGACAAGCCTCCAGCCAGGGTATGTTATACTAGCCTGTTTTCTTTCACATCACATAGTAACTGGGTTTCACAATACATACACTGTAAGTGTCAATATTCTTAGGCACTAACTAGCCCAGAGCTATTTTCCAGGGCTGTCACCAAGATTTCAAGTTGACGTTATATGCAATCAGTAGACGGGAAATTGAACTTCAAGGAAATCGTTATGTCCTAGTTTCCTTTTGTTTCCTATGAAAGTAGCCGGGCAGTGCCTGATCCAGACCTTGAGATGAAGGGGTGGGGGGCGGTCATCCAGACCCTTAGATAAGAGGGGGGGGGGGTGGTCTCCCGAAAATTTTTTTTCGGCCCTTCTGGCCTCAGTTTGGTCCAAAAATAATGGAGGGGGGGTCGGGCCCCCGGGTCCCTCCCCTGAATCCACCACTGCCGGGGCTAATGTTCATAGTATCCGGAGGAAATCCCCTGCCCTTTCTTCTTAGTGACAGCATATTCACAGCAGAAGGGCTTGGTTACTATTCAGAAGTGGTAAAATGACTGGCCTATTGTTTATAACTTAAACTGTTATCGTACTGAGGTCACAACGGTGTAGCACAATGCCGCTGTTAATTGAAACCACCAAGGCTTAACGTTTTACTTATATTTTAATTTTGTTAAGGCCACAACGTTGTACCCATCAAAGCGGAAGTTAACGGATAAAGAAGGAGAATTCTATTTCAGGTAATAATGATAAGAATACGAATAAATATGATAATATATAATAATATAATATGTATATTGTGCATATAGAGTGTTTTCACATGACGTCACTGCGGCCATATTGGTGTCCCAAACCAATCCTCTGGGAGTTGAACTCTTTTCTCACGCAAACGCTTTCTTTTGTTTCAATAAATTTGCGTAGATGCAGGCCACGTGAGTGAAAACACTCTATACAATGGCAGTATTTTCATGTGCGCATTACAAACGATGAGATAAAAATAAGTCAGTTAAAAGCTATCTTAAGAAAGTAAGTCAATTATAAGCTACCTTAAAAAAAAGTTAATTAAAAGCTATCTTTAAAAAGTAGGTTTTGAGAGCTGTCTTAAAAGATGTAAGGCTCTGAATGTTTCTTGTCTCCGCCGGAAGGCTGTTCACACAGTTCACACAGTTTGGGAGCTGCCGACTGAAAGGCTGGTCTCCCTGTGAAGCTTGAACCGGAGACGATGCCTGCGACTCCTACTGTTTCCAACACTCAAAGGACCGACAGCCGAACCCTGGTGAAGACACTCAAGTTACAACTTAAGGTACTAATATTTACTTTTTTTGGTTGTGTTCTCTCCTCATTGTAATGAAAAAAAGACCCCGCATCTTCAGTTACCATTTCTTTGCGACGTCATGCGTATAATTATAGGCCAGCGTTAGTGAGCATTAACTCTGTAGAGAAACTGGTTTGTGTAAACTTTGGGAAAAGAGTTGCAGAGTTGGTTGCCTGCAAAGATTTCGTCCGTAATTAACTAGTCTCAATTTTAGCAGCACTGCCACTTTGAAGATGAGTAGCAAATCGCTGAAAATGAGCAAAAGAAAATAAAAAAAAATGAACAACAAAAAGATGAGTCCATTGACGGCGTCAGTGAAGCCTATCACGAAGGTGATGACGATTATGTCACCAAGAAGTGCGTTTACGGCATGATGAAAGTGCAAGAGTCGATGTCTCGTAATTTATTTGAATCCATGTCGACCAGTGTTAACAATAGAAGTGATGGTGTGATCAAAAACCTGACAGAATTGAAATCAAGTATTCATATCACCATAATCTTCTGTCTAGTAGCTTTCGCAACCTCTTTTTAAGTAGTAATCGGGTTCACCATAATGAAACTCGACTAGCCTCTTAGTATAGACCTCATTTTTGTAGAACTATTATTAACCAGTTCAGTATCCTTTATGGATGACCAACAATCTGGAATTCGTTGCCAATTTCACTAACCAGCTCTTCTTCCATATTTGTTTTTGGTTTTAAAAAAAGATCTGAAAAATTCTCTCATTGATAGTCGTTCTGTCGCTAAGTTTTATGTTTTCTGTGCCCTCTGCACTCAAGTAAGTAATTAGTAACGTTTCGTTGATAACGTTATTGATTAATTTGGTTGATTGTTTGATTTCGGCAGTACTCTGGCGTTGTGTTATATGTTTTTTGTTTGTTTTTTTTTGTGTATTCTTTATATATTTTTATATTCATTTATGTTTTGGATTTAACATAACGAACGTTGGTCGTTTTTCTCTTTTCTGATCTGAAACCAACTAATGTTGCAGCTCTCGTTAGTTGCTGATCTCGCAACAACGTTAAAAAACCCTCTGCATGTTCAAAGGTCCATTTCAATATTCAACATGGCTTGGTACACATTTGTTGAACAACAGCTCAAACATTTGTTGATCAGCAAACTGGCTTTAGGCAGCCTTGAAACCAATTTTTACTCTATTTGCCGTTTGTTTCAGGACAAATTCGATAACCTGACTGGTGAGAATCTGAAAGGAAAGGTGGTTGTCAAGGTAACGACACCATCAGAAGGCATTGACGAGATCCCTGCTCTGACTGGGAATGTGTACTCCTTGGAGGTACCCCTGGTCAAAGGCGTGGCCACTGTACAGAACCTCCTCATTCAAGAGAACACTGCAGGCAAAGACTGTTTACGTTGGCATTCTTGTTTTACAATGGCAAGTACTCTTCAGTTTCATGTAGTGCTGACTTTCTTCTTCGTGATTAACTTAAAGGATATCCGATAGTTTGCTTGTTTGTTGTGTGACCTTCTTTGTTTTAAAATAGCAAATACACCGCGGTTTTCTGTAGTGCTAATTTTCCTCTCCCTTATAAACATTAGCACAAATTAACAGGTGCTCGTTCTTTCTGCGACCTTTTTTTGGCAAGTACACAGAACTGCTAAATTTCCTCTTCATGATTAACTTAAAAAATAAAATTCTTGTTCTTTGTTGAACCTTTTGTTTTAGACTGGCAAGTGCACTACGGTTGTTTTATAACGAAGTGCTTAATTTCCTCTCATTGGTTAACGTTTGACCTCTACTTTTAGGCAGTGTTTTAACTAACACAACATAGCACGTAAACAGTACCTTACTTTTCTGGTTTTAGATGTAAGGAAACAGCAACAGATGGCTCAGCTGACAAAAGAGAGAGATCACTTATTTGAGACGATACGCACCTACCGGCTCCTTTTTGAAACTACGCGACAACTCATTAACGAGATGCAAGGTTGGTGGCATATTTTTGGTTCTTAGCAGTCGACACAAAAATCTGGTCCCAAGAGTGACTAACATCAATTTTCTTCTAACAATATCACTGCATCGTTAAGAGAAAAGGTTATGAAAAATAATAAAATGATCACCAAATGGAAATGCTTTGATCTTTTATCAAATTCTCTCAACTAATTCTGTAAGGAAATGTATGGAGATCAGTCTGGGGAATTCCTATGTGAATATAAATCCTCCATAAAAAGACTCAAAAGCTGACGCATTAAGTGCTAGCCCGTCGTCAGACCCTAAAAAGTGAGCCATTACTAGAAGGCAAATAAACTCTGTGGCCATTCTCTTCCCCGGCCATGTTAAGGTATATTTATGTATTTATTTACTTATTCCATGGCCTTGTGGCGATGATTTTCTGACAGGAGCAGTGACCTCAGTGAAGTATGTAACTAGTCGATTTTTAGGCAGCGTGGCCGAGCGGTTAGAGCGCTGGAGGCGAGACGCTCCGAGTTCTAGTCCCGCTCCAACCGCTAGCTGTATTTGTTCACGGTAGTCCCGAGTTGAAATCCTCGGCCACGCTTGTAAATAGTCAGCTGGTTTGCCTCCGGCCAGTCGGGATTCTTAACCCTGTTAAGTTTGATTCAGATCATCTATTTTAGGCATTTGCTTGGTCCCACTAGCATTAGTGCTATAAATACTGCCGAGGGTAAATAACGGAATTATTATATTTTATTATTTAAGTTCCAAGTTCGTGGATATTATTGATGTTATATATATATGCTGTAATGGTTAAATCAGTTTTTATTTATTTTATTGTAAGCTTATTTTCATACATGTTAGGGTTTAAGATTTGAACAACTATAACCTTTATTTTTGTACATTACAGTGTCAGTGCATGAAGCTTCTTTACAAGAACAGAAGCTGAGAGGGAAACTCAGAAAACAGAACATCCCTGCAAGCAGCTTAGCATCGGTAAGGAGTAATCCTGATACAGGATCGAGTCACCTTAATGGAGTAGTTAGAGTACCAAGCTCAAGTCCAGAGGTCGCTGGGTTCGGTTTAACCAGAGTTCCCCTCTTTTCCACAGAGGCCTAGCGGAGACTAGAAGGGGTAAACGCACGTAGTGAATGCTGGGAAGGGGAAGAGCGGAAGCGAGGTTTCCGCCATTTCTCTTTGTCGGTCGTTCACACGACAACGCTTCCCAGTTATAAAAGAAATTATGTTCTTGTTGTCGGAACTTCTGTTATGGAAAAATGAAGTGCACCTGTAGCCACACGGCACTGGCTGGTTTTGATTTAAGTTGGATCTGAGTTCAACTCCTTGGCCATGCCTGTTGGTGCCTCTGAAGCTTTTACGTTTACTTTCGTTTTCTTATTTAGAAGAAGCGCTAGAAAGTTGTGGATGATGCCTCATTTTGTTACCGTGCATACGTTTCGCATATTACCGGGAAGTCTCATTTTGTAAAATCAATTCGTACCATAGAATAGTATGACTAGAGAGCTTTAGATTTGAGGACGAGTAGGAGTACAAGTACGAGATTTAACATAAAGTTTTTGGGCTTGCTCTAAAAAAAGACACCCCGGAAAGCTTAATTTTACTTATTTTCAGACACAAAAAAGTATTACGGTTATATATACTGAAGGAAGTTAGGCCCTCCCTCGATAGCAAAATAATAAAACTTGTTACATTTGACAACTTGTTCCCGCCATTACGACATTCTCGCTAAAAGTGACGACGGCTATCACGTTTTCCCGCCAAAATGTCGCTGGTTCGCGCGCGAGCACTACTTAAGTATTGACAAAAACTCGTACTCGAAGTCGTACTCGTCTCATAATCTAAAGCTCTTTAATCACTGCTTGCTTGTTCTCAGCCCACAGCTGTGACGACATTGATAGATGAAATGTCAAAAAAGAGAGATCAGATCGCTATTACTCCTCGCAGACAGTGTCTACTTCACCCTGGACCCCGTGGAGTCTCTGGTATTCTGGGAAAGGTTTGTTCAGTTTACTTTTCGATGAGTTCACACTATGCTTTAGTCTGACTATTTTTGCCCTTTTTCTAAAGTCATAGCAAAGAGTGGTTTTCAATAGCTATTATGCATGTTTACGTCAAACGAGTATATTTCACCACCCAGCCTCGTTTTGAAGTTGAAAAGTTGCCAAGTTGTGCATAAATGAATTCCCAAGGCAGAACAGTTGGAAATAACATCCACGCCCAAAGAATTCAAATGCGAAGAGTTTTGCTTACAAACGAGGCTTGGTGATGAAATTTGCTCGACTGACGTAATTATGCAACTTCAAATCTTAGTGACAGCCCTGATCTCGGTAATGAAGAAACTTGGCTCTATCTCGTCGGTATACTTTTGCTGCGTGTTAGCGCTAACGCTGTTTTCTGTTCCCCCTGCAGGTAGCTCATTTAGCTCAAGTGGTAGATGACGACGTTGCGCGGGTACTGTCGTGGCACATGGCATCCGATATGGACTGTGTCGTTACTCTCACGACAGAAAAGGTTCGTTCTTAGACTTTCAAAAAAGTCCTTTTTCCGATTTAATATGGCGCGGGACGAAGGTCGACTTGTCGCGACTTCGTCGTACGCGTGGTTGCCTGCTTTGAAACTCGTGCTGTCGACTTCTAGCAAGTCTAGTTCGTTCCCTAAATCTCGTGTTTTTCCTGCCGTGCTTTTCGCTCATCAAAAATTCTCTCCCCTTTTGGGTAGCTAGTATGTACGTAAGTTATGCTGTTCTGCTCTATCCTATTCTACTGGGCCTATCGTTTTGTGCTCTTTAAGGTCGGTACACACTAGGCGACAAGTTGCAGCAGCAAGTCGCGGCTACACATCACTCGGTGTGTACAGGTTCGACGACTAGTTGCAGCAACATTTCGCTGCGACAGTCGCAGCTACAAATCGCTTCGTGTGTACTGGAGAAATTTTGTGAAAATATTTGTCTCTGCAACAGAATTGTGTCGTTGCAACAAGTCGCACAAATTCTATCTGATTTGATTTTTTGCAACATGTTGCTGCGACAAAATTCTGTTGCAGAGACAAAGGTTTTTACAAAATTTCTCCAGTACACACGAAGCGATTTGTCGCTGCGATGTGTCGCCGCGACACGTCGCTGCAACTTGTCGCCTAGTGTGTACCGACCTTTATGGAGTAGGGTGTATTTTTATTGCTAACAAGCGTTTGCGAGGTAGCAATACTATTCTTTATCATAGTTATTAGAGGAGACTGGTTATGAAAAGCGGCAAACATCAATGATAAAAACAACAGTGCTGCAGTTTATGTTGGAAGTACCGTGAAAGTGCACAATCCTTTGTTTTCCGTTGCCAAATTGTTACGGAATAAATTAATGCAACGTGTTTATTGGTCAATACAATAAAAATGATAGGAATTCTTTTGAACATTGTGCACTTTCAGGTCCACAAAAACATATAACAAAGGAGTCTGACGGGTTTCATAACCATTCCACTCAATTAACTATGTCTTTATGTAGCGAAAAATGCAATTTGTAGTATTCTTTGTGTAGCAGCAAATCCAATTTGTGTCGAATGTAAGATCGTCCGCAAACACACTTGGTCATGACTATCTTAGAGGTCTTCTTATATGACGTAGTATATCCGCACAGCGCTCGAGCCAATGTTCACGTTCCTGACAAACGGATAATATTGCCTGTTTTATCATTTCCTCCGGTATTAATAAAATCAATTGACTTAAAGGCTTCTGTGTTACCTCAGGAATGAACCGTAACTTAAGTATTTGCCTTACTGGTCGGAAACACACTGATTTCATCAGTGAATGTTTTGCTTCAAGGGGCAAAGTCAGCGACTAATATTTTGGCACAAAACTTCAACTTCCTTTGCTTCTTATTTCACAGTAGTAATTATCACCGTCTCACTTCCAAGACCTTCACACAAGTCCTTTTGTACTCTCTAAAATAACCAGTAACATTTATCTAGTTTTATATTACTTTTTACTTTTTGAATAACACGGGTGACTGTATATTTTCAGGCAAAACAAGTGTATCGCGATTATAATGGCCAGCAACAAGTGCTACCCTTGGATTCTATCTTCAGACGTAGTTTACCAGAATGGAATAGGTACAGACCAAATTAAACCCAGTTATCATAGACGCTGTCTCTCGGGAGTTTTCAAACCCAAAACTGCTTGACAATTTTATATAACGTAAATCCTCTATTAAGAGCCCCCCTTTCAAATAAGCGCCCTCTCACTAGTAAGCCCCTCCTTTTCAGAGAAAGAAAGTTAATAAGCCCCCTTCTCTTTAAGCCTCTATCGCCTCCCCTCCGCTTATTATTCTTGACTATTTTAATGATAGACTGTATTAATCAGTGACGACAGTAAAACGTCGTGTGGACTGATCCGGGATTGTTTATTTACCAACTGGAAGTTCGAATTTGTTATTGATCCTCGGCTGCATGGCCTCCAACGTCTTGTACTGGAACTCTTCCGCTTTGTATTCTAGTTCTTTATGGAGAACTGATACCATCGTTTCTTCTTAATTAGATAACCCCCCCTCTCTCTAACCCCTCCCCCACCTCAAATGGGCTTGAAATAAATAAGCCCCCCAAGGGGCTTTAATTGAGGATTTACGGTAAGTTGGTTTTTTAACCCACCGAAAATTCAGGGAGTGTTCAAGTAGTGCCGATCAAGTTTATAAAACTTCCTGCCCGGTTTTACGAGTTACTTTACTACATTAAAATGTACTTTACTATTATCTGCAGGCTTAACCTGGCTTACACTCTCATTCATTCGCGTAGTCAGTTGTGACGTCATATAATGGTGATCTATCTTTTGAATCTGTAGGCGAATTCATATAGAACCCTCTATTTCGGTAGGACCCTATGCGTGATTTTTTCCTTGAATTTGTGAAAATAAGTCTATTAACCCCCAGTGCATTAGAAAAAGTTAGCAATGCTTGCAGACACGTCAGCAGTGGCCTGTGAATATGCTAGTGAGCACGCTCAAGAAGTTTCCAGTGGCTTCAAGAATTTTAAGTCTGTAGCGTAGCATAGCAATGAGTAGCCATTAATATTGACTTTTAATTTTAGAGCTCTTCCACATATACGAGGTCAGAGCAGTTACAATCCTTCTGGTAACCCTGTGTACGCAAGAGATATGTTGATGTTCCCAACAGAGGCGGAAAATTGCAAGCTAGGTAATACGATTGTGTATGCAAGAGTACTTATTGTAGGGCCTGTGCGACGACAGACCATTAGATAATCATTAGCCTGCTCTGTGTTCACTAGTTTAAAAACAACTGTTGGGCCAACGCTCGAGAGGCGCGGGCGGAATCTAATGCGCGAGTGGCGAGCAGATTGGCTCACTTCGATAAGTTCTTGAATGGAGAACGTCTCTAAGGCCAAGATAATTTGCAAGTAAACAGCAATGCGTGAAAGCAAGCAGTGCTAAAGGATCTTGAATAGAAATGTGAATTTTCTGTTTAGGAAGGTGAACGTTTCGATTACCCGTCGTCAAAGAGATACCCATTGGTGGAGCTCCGTGATTAGTTGCAACAAGCTAGCGTAAATGGCGAGAATCAGTTACATTCTTCCCCCCCCCCATCCCGCCTCCCCCAAGTTAGCTGGACAACAGTTTTTCCAAACAGGCACCTAAACATCGGCTAGTATAGGGTAAGAATACGCTCATCCTAGGAAGCAGCACCCCTTAATGTACAACATCCACTTCCCGTTTGTTGACAGTTCCAGTGATTCCACGCTCAGAGGTAGAAATAACTTTGTCAAGATACATTGTTATGGGTTTAGGTTACCACTTCTATGTTCCTTGAGCATCTACCAAAGCATGTTGACTATCAGAGGTTTTTTTTCCTTTTCTCGCGTGCGGCGGGGTACTTCGATGTCGGCAACAGACCGAAGCCGCGAGTCACTGTAACCAGAAAATGCGAAAGAAACGTCTCTCCTGTCCGGTATATACAAAGTTCTTCGTGACTTTCAAACATTTCCCTCAAACTCAATAATAAATGTGCCGACTCGAGAAAACAAACAAATTCGCTACCATGAATCAAACACTCGAAAGAGTTTTTCATCTGGATTCCAAATAACCTTGACTTCATTCTGAATATTCGACTGTGCCTCATTTTTTTCAACTCACATGTCGTTTCCTGCATGTTTTTTAAAACCTTCTTCATTTTGATTCATTGCTTGCCTCATTGCAGTGTTCGGTATGTTACTGGGAGGTACACTGATCCTAGATGACCTGGACTGTGCAAATAAATACAGACAACAGGTGAGTACACTTGTTGTTAATGCATTTAAGGGTGATGTTACACGGGACGACTCGCAGCAACGATTTTTAGCTTAACACAGCGTTGCAACATTGTTGCGATATTGATTCAAATGGTCGCAATATTGTTTCAACATTGCCGGCAATGCGGTGCCATGGCTTCCTGACACAGCCTCTTTAATACGAGTGCACTTCTGAAGACATCACATTTTTACATTTAGCCTGTGTAGCTGGCGGGATTGTTATGCCCTATTCAAAACGGGACCGTCGTTTCTACGTACTTACCTAGCCGCATAGCGTATGGCCTTAAGCTGGACAATGGCAGTACGTTCTCCCTCGCTCATTTTAAGGCCCTGATGTCCAATATTCTCAACTAGATTCCAGTGGACAAAACCTGGAGTCCAATGGGTTCTAGTCGAAAAATGAAACCGGAAGTACAGTCGAATCCACTTGAGTTACCGGAAGTCTAGTTATAAGATGAAACCGGAAGTGTAAACAATAATTTGAGGAGGGTTGGAAAGTCGTGCGATGGAGCCCATCGCATCCACTGGAAACTCATCGATTCCGGTGGAATCTCCATTACAACGACTTTCTACCCTCTTCTGCAACATGAGTGGAATATTCTATAACGACTGGAAAGTGTGCTTTTCTATTGGAATCTATTTGTTTCCAATGGACTCCGTTGAAACGGCTGTCTACCCTCCATACAACATGAGTGAAATTTTTCTCAGTATCACACGAATAGAAAATGGACTTTTCCATTGGAATCTGTTCGTGTCCAATGGATCACCTACACTTGGTAGGACTTTTCACCACTAGACTTTCCGACAGAAAGCAAGAGGATACTACTGGAGTCTAGTTCTGTGGCTTTGAGACAAATCAACTAACGGACGACTGCAATGCAATAAAGAAAACTACTGATTTACGAGCGGAAGTGGCTATTTTGCATCTCTGGGCAGCAATTTTTCTCAAATTTTCTGGCAATTCGTCTCAGTAAAAGTAAAGATACTTAGCAAGGCACATTGTTAGCGCCAAGGTATATTAAAAGGAAAAAAGGCCTCACTTCCGGTTGATGTGCGTCGTCCAGAAATGTCTTAGCTTAAGCTCCTTTGTGTGTTGTTATACTGTAGGTTGTAAAACACACTCATTGTCCTACGTCTTACAAGAGGAGGAGATCGCATCAGAAGTAACGGTAAGTTATGTAGCCCATTAACGTTTAAGTGACTAGTGTTTAAGATTTCTCCTTATTCTTACACTGTTCAGTCAAACATGAATATCGATAACAAGCTGAGCTGGCAGGTCGCGCAATCTCACGTGATCTTGGAATGACGCAATGGTGAGGTAGAATTTCTCCTTATTCCCGGTTTTCACTCACGTGAGAAAGCCGAAATTAAAATGGAATCCTTTTAATACAGAAAGTCTAGAATCTGGGAAATGAAAGAAGTTAAATATACAAAAAGCCTCGCCAAGAATCAGGTCTATGCAATCGTTCATATGCGAGATATTCGGAAAAACGTTTTACCCAAATTTATAAAGCTTTGCATGGAGACGTTATGTTTGTGTCCCTTTCAGGGGTACAAATATGGCCCCCGGAAACCAACAGAAACATCTGTTTTTGAGTTTTCCTACTTATGCGTGAATTTGTCGCTTGAGGAACTCATAAAGACTAGAGTAATATTTATTCTAAGACAAGAAATGTTTAGATAGCAAAATCCCCAAAAATCCGTAATGTTTTTAACCCACTTAAGAGCTTTCCCGGGCGCCAGCTAAATGCCGCGTCGCGCAAAAGCCTGGAAATTCAAGCGTCCTGTATCGCAAAACAAAGAACCCTTTTGAACCGAAAGTTTGTTTGTATTAAGGTTTTAAGGTACGTGCTCTAGTATCACATGATAGTAGAAACTCAGAAGAAGCGATAGTTTCTTAGTTTGAATTTTGGTGACGTCATGTGAAAACCAAGAATTATTACACTGTTCAGTCAAACATAAATACCGTGAGAAAAAGCACATGATCAGCAAGTGAAAAAGGTCTTGTAGGTAGGATATGCGTGAAGAACGTTGGGGAGAATGTTTGTATTAATTTTAGGGTTCAAAGGGTGACACCAATCCCCGTGATACTGTTTCTTCTAGTGAGAATTTTAATCTCCATAGTTTTTGCTCTCTTGCAAAGGTAAATTCGGCGGACTGCAGAACAAAGCTCCTCCTCTTGAGAGAATGCGCGGCGCAGTGTTCGCTGCGCCTCTTCCGCTGACATTCCATTCACTGACAACGCAGATTGGTGAGTGACAACTAAAGCTCTTCTCATTTTTCACCGCCAATGTATAACTCCAACATTGTTGCTAATGTTTTTCTTTATTCATTATGTTGTCAGAACAACTACAAGCTTTTAAACAGGCCGTTATTAAGCACACACAAGCCAAGGAAGAACTTTCGGTAAGCTTAAAGAAGCGCATCGCATTGGTGCCTTTATTTATTTTTTTTCCTTTCGTACACAAATCCACCCTGCTCTCAGTCTTCTTTTCTTGAGTGCGGATGAGAAGAGGAAGCTCTGTCTGAATCGCGTCGAGTCTTGTTTTAACCCTTTAAGTCCCAATAGTGATCAACATCAATTTTCTCCTAACAATATCCTCATATTGTCAACAGATAAGACTATGAGAATTAATAAAATTATCGCCAAAGAAAAGTGCCTTGATCATTTATTAAATTCTCGCAACTAATTCCTAAAGGAAATGTATGGAGATCACTTTGGAGAATTTGTATGTGTACATTAATTGAACTTATCGTATAGGTGAGCGCGACCCCCATAACTTGAAGATTTGAATCCGCTTTCACTATCTTTCCGTTCGGCTCGCGGTTTGTATTCAAAGCAAATCGTTGGCAACGGTTAGCTGATTTACGAATTTGTTCTTCGAGCATTTGGAGGGAACTCTTTCTCTATCTCCTTTCTCTAACAGCTGCAGCTACAGCACGGACAAACGGAGGAGATGAAAATTAAACACCGGGAATGCAGAGAGGCTGAAACCCAGTTACGCATGATTGAGGAGCGTTTGGGCATGACTCCGACCCAGTACAATATGCCTCCCAGTCCGGCCACTATGCTGCTGACAGAAATCAACACTCCACCTACCAGAACAGCTACCTCGCGTCGCTCTAGCGCATGAGCTGCAGCTGCGGCTACCGCTTCTCCGACCTTATCGACTCCGGTCGTAAATGGTACGAGTAACGTATCGGGAAACACAACTTCTCCGCGAACGAGGCGAGGTGCTGCGATCTCCCCTGAAGATGTAAGAACCACTAAACGAACGCGCCGATGAACAGAATGCAACTTAAAATAGTTATGCTGGAGGTTGACACTACTTTAAACATGCCGCAGTGGATTTACAGTCAAAACCTTAAAGAACTTGTAAACATGATTTTGTGGTATCGATTATTTCTTAAACGAGGAAAGCCCGCCATGGAAGATGCTTCGCTATATTGTGCCATGCTTTAAAACTTGGTCTTCGTGGTCATTTAATTTTACGGCTTTCCTTGTAAACGATCTACTGACTGAAAAACTGTACCTCTGAAGACTGAGGAGATTCCATTTCTTTACAGATTGTAACAATTTTTCACTTTGCTACTGTATCTATGTTTTCACACCCTCCTTCTAGAAGTTTATCATTATACGTGCTTTTGAAATTTACTTTGAGAACTTAACGTAAAATTGACATTGTGCTCTGATTCTCTTTCGTGCCGGATTATCTCCCGAAACTAAACCAAAAGTGGAGCCGACGTTTTTCAAGTTTACTCCATCTTCTTTAGTCTTGACTATACACGTCCTATCTGAGGTTGAAGACGATACTTGATGTCTTTTTTTTGTTTGTTTGTTTTTTTTTTTGGATCTCTTGCTTGTTGTTAAAAATTGCCAAAAATTGCATGACATTGCGCTTTTATATTAGAGACCTTAAGATCGAAGTGTTTTGGCATTTCCCGCTAACCGCGAACGTCAAGAATTCACGTGACCAGTGCCCTGCCGTGGGAATTTGGGTTTGAGGTTCACATTCCTACAGCATGAGCACGCTCAAGGGTTATAATAAGTGATTTACTGCAAGGATTTTTGCACCCCAAAACATCCCAGTCCCGCGTTTGAGAGGAAATACTACCTTTTAGAACTCTTTCGCATATTAATCATCCAATTCGTTTTCATAGGAACGTATTTTTGAAGACAATTTCTGAGCTAAAATAGTTTGCCGTTTGCAGTAAGATGGTCAAACCTCGATCTTAAAGTCTCTATTCTTAATTTCAATTTGACTGAAATTCAGTTCAGTAGTCTTACTTAACCTTACTACATCCTACACGCCACTAATTTATCTTCGTGTTAAAAGGTATTACGGTATTAAAAGGTACTTTTTACCTCAAAGTACAGTATGAGATTAGTGGCAAATGAATGTTGAGAAATTGTCCGTTTTGTGTTAACGCGTAGAACTAGTTCGGTGTTATGTTGAATGACAATTGCCGTTTTCATACTGGAGACGGATTATCCGTCTGAGACGAATTATCCGTTGGATAATTCGCGTCAGACAGATAATACGTAAAAAAGGCCGTTGTTCAATTTGGACGGATAATTCGTCTGACTTTATCCGTCTTTTTAGACGGATTTTAGAAGGATTATTCGTCTCGAATTCACACTAGACGGATTAAGTCATCCCATTTTCCCTGCCCACCCTCGTCCCCAGTGTCTTCGTGCTTTCCAAAAGACACTGGGACGAAGTTGTTGTTGTTTTTTTTTTTTTCACTAGAAAGGGTGCGTTGCATCGTAGGATTCGTAGAACAAAAAGTTTAAAAGCACTCACCCCCCGGAAGGTACTCTGGGAATTCTTAGTGGGGGTGTGCCGCCCCGCTCTCCAAATCCTAACCCTATATCAGACCTTAAAAGGTCATTTTTCAGACCAGTTTTCAGATCTGACCGCTAAACTGCATACCCGTTTTCAGACCTGGCCTCTAAGAAATTATGTCATCATTACTTCGATCAAGGCAGCAACAAAAACGATTTCTTAAAATCAGAAGCATATATGCTTCTGTTAAAATCCATTTCGAATTCATTCTTACTCATTTGGAGTTGAAACGATGAATACTTGACGTTCATCCACTCCCGTAGTTTCCTCGAAAATCATACCCGACTCCAGACCAAAATGGGCACACACGGAAAAGAAAAACGTTCAAAAGGAACACGTGGAGTGAAAACGTCTTTAATAGTACCGAGAAGCGCACCCTTGGTATCAGTTTCACATGTTTCATAATACTACTTGTTTGTTCCCTCCCCTCTCCTCCCCCAAACAAAATTGTGTAAGCGTAAGTAATGTCTTCACTTTTTCTTGCGACAACTGTAATACCCAGGAGAAATTTAAAAAAAGGCTATGCAAAATTTGGGCGAGGGTGTTTGTTTGTTTGTTTTTTCTCATGGAAGGAGTCTCGAGGTGAATAAATACATTACTGCGGGACCACTGCGTCAAAATTCCCAACGGGAAAGATAGGTAGTCAATCAGAAAACAGTATTTACTTCAGCTTACCCACTCGCGAAAGCTGCATATGATAATGTGATCAGAGTTACAGGTTTCTTTTGTGAGATACCGTAAAATTCCGATAATAAGCCCCTTCATGTATAAGCCCCTCCAAATATAAGCCTCCCAAACTCGTAACCCAAAAAACCCTCCGTTAAATCGCCTCTCCAAATATAAACCCCTGGGGGCTTGTACTTGGAAAATTGCCCTCAAATACCAAGTAAAACACAGCAAAAAAAGGTAAATTTACTTCCAACTATAAGGCTAACCCAATCGATTTCGAAACACAAATTTCCCTCCGTAGATAAGCCCCTCCAGAAAAAGGGTCTTTGAAAAATATAAGCCTCGGGGCTTATTTTCGGAATTTTACGGTATGATTAGGCGTTTGTGTGACCTTAGGATTGTGCCCTGTTCACGTTATGAGCTTCGACCGTGCTCGTGATATTATAGTGCGCGCCTCTCACTCGACTGTTTATGAACCAAACACGAACGCTTCAGCAAGTAACAACAGGATACTGTGTTCCCTTCAATTTTTTCTGACGTGGAATTTAAAAAGGACAAGTAACAGGTATGTATGAGAAATGTAGGTAATCACCTTTCATTTTTCGGTGAAGTTAAGAAATTTTTACTCTACTGTTAGCGTTTTAGAACTGAAGCATATGTACCTTCTTCACCTGTATAATTCTTCTGACATTTATTTGGATCTACTATTTAATGGTAAAGTTTCCTTATTTATTGAAGCAGGTCTTAGTGACTAAGTCTAATACAAGCAAACAACATCTAATTTCTCAGAGTATCACTGCTTATCACGGAAAGGTCATGAGATAATTTAGAGAGTATAGTCCATGATCCCTAAACAAAATCGTCATCAGTTTTTGAAGAGCCACATGCAATATCGACAACCGGGTGGAAATATGCATTATCAGGGAAAGAAATGTAAAGAATATCACTTTTCACTGTAGATTTGTTTTTAACGTTTTTCTCCAGCTGCTAATTAGTAGTTGGTTAAAGCCAATTTCTTGGGGATTTTAGCTACTGTAGGGGTAGAACATGTATAGAGGTACCCGTTTGATTAACACTTCCCTCTCCGCTACTATCTACCAACAATGAACTTGGACACCAGCAACTGTTTCTTTTTATCGCACGGAAAATAAGTGCTCTAGGGGAAGTGTTCCAAGTGACTGATGGTATGGCATATAAGGTTTGTTAACGGGTATCAAGAGGCAACAACTCAGCCTCACTACCATCTGTCCATGATTGCTTTCCCTTCCCCGGATCATTAAATGGGTACATGATTTTTATCACTAGCTTAAAATGAGAAGTCGATGCAATCGATTTGTTATCCTTTACCCATTCTCGTCCCCAGAGCCACTCGGCTTAATTTGTAACGAACCGCGTGACCAAAATACGACGGGCTCTGGGGACGAGAATGTCCTTTACCTTAAGTAATTTGGCGAACTAGCCTGCGAAAGCAGAGGCCTTTTTCTGCTTTGCTGACACCGAGAAAACAGTTTTCTAAGCGTGTGAAACTACTGACCGGGTGAAACCTAAAGCCGAAAAAGGTGTCTGCTCTCGCAGGCTTATAGCGAACGGGCCCTTTTCGAATTATCAAAATCCTTTTCTGAGGGAAATAAAACGAAATAAATAGACTATTCATCTCCGAATCTCAATACTATTTCCTTAGTTTTATACCACGCAGCCTCGGAGCCAAGCAACCTCGTTCCCAAGGTTCTCTCCTATTCGTCCTTCAGAGCAAGAGAGACGGGGAACTAGTTGTGAAGAACCCTGGATACGAAGTTGGGAGCCAACTCGCAAATTCAAAACAGGCCTATTGAAAGTATCCTTTGCCATTAGACTGCGTGACTGTTCACATCGATCTTATGTGACACTCAGTTGTCGTGCGTCTCTTCAACGAGATATTTTCTCCTTTTAATCGTTTCCATCAGATTTTTTTAGTATTATTTAATTTGTACAACCAGTTGAAAATAATACAATATAACATTCACAGAGAAGGACACAAACAATCTGAACAATTTATCAAGAATAAAATCGGGCTACTTTCAATAGTCCTCAGACAGGATAGCGCACAACTAGCACATCCAATCCCCGTACGGATAAGAATTCGACAGTATTATTATTAGCTAGTTATTGCCCTGCGAGCAGAGGTCAGGGGCACCCAACGACGATTTCCTCCTAAATACATTGAAAACACTTTTTAGGCTATCCTGGGTACTTTTAGACCTCTAGAAATGCATTCCAATTAGCACTTTAAGATTTTGTACCTGTTCGGTCATCCTAGAGAATCGAACTTGAGTCTTTTCGAAATTACCGTATTTTCCCGAAAATTTTAGATGCAATTTAAGGTGGCTCAATACAGTTTTTTTAGGGTCGATACCTCCCAAGTTTGAGCATAAACTACGTCGCCATTAACAGAGATTTAGAAAAATTGCTACCACAGTTGTATTAGATAAAGATGAAAATTTGTTATTATCAGGGTTGCAACGACATTGGAGTTGTCATAGCAACGAAATGACGCTATTACCTAATTTACTTGTAGCAGTATATCTCGGCACTGGGAACTGTTCTTCCAAAATCGTTTACGGGAGCTTTTTCCTCCAATA